GAAAACCACAGTACTACACGCAGGCATCTTGCTTTTCTGATGTGTCCTGTCTCCTCTGTCACTCACACTGCCCTTGAAGCCAAACGACAGCAGCAGCACTTAACGATCTTAAACAGTTTTCAGTTACAGCTTCTTTGAAAATCTAATGAAAATTTGAATTTCTCCAACAAAGATGTAAATGAACCAACACCCACACCCATGTAAATTTCCCACACCCACGGATGACCTCACTTCAGTTTTCTTTTGTCCACCTTGGGATTACTTCTTTTCATCATTAAATTCCCAAAGGAATATGAATATCTTTTAGGAAACCCATTATATTATTCCCTATAGTTCCGTTACTTTTATTGCTGGCTTTCCTTAATTTCCAGAGACTTATTTTCGTTGATGTTATTGTGGACCGAGTTTCTAAATAAGGTTCAAAGAGTTTCAGTATTGAAAGGACAAGATTGCTGGGCAGTACAATGAGACTCTTGGGTGACACTCTAGAGCACCTAAGTCAGAATCTCTGAGGTTGGTGGGGGAGATCCTGAGACCAAGTTCCATGTGTTGACTCCACCGAGGATGCTAAGAAGCTGTGGTGTCACCCATGATGGAACTAGTATCTCAGAGGCAAAATGTGCAGAGGTAGTTTGGTGCCCCACTATCCCTTCTGGCCACAGGAGACCTTTCTCCTGCCATCTTGCACTAATCCTGTTGGGTTATCTCTTGAGCAGCACACTCTGAGGTGGGATGGAGGCTGGTGTGTGCTCAGGGGTCCGGCATCTAGGTCACTGTGCTGCCTCTCCTGCAGCTGCTGTCTTGTTTCACACCCTTATCCTGCTATGGCGAAGAGGTTTCTGCTTTATCTTCCTTTGGTACATCTTACCACATTTAGAGGGGATTCCAGCTTGCCTGAATTACGATCGTAATTTGGGTAAACGCCTTATCGCCACTTTCTGACTGGAAGGCTCTTCAGGGTAGACTAAACCAATTTCCAGGTTTGCCATAGCCATCGAACTGCCTTATTTCACCCAGACAAATGAGCTCTCTTCCCTCTCCCTCCCCATTTTAAATAGGTGAGAGACCATTACAGCGTCTCCTTTCCCTCTCTACCACCTGCCTCTGTTGCAGTTCTCACATTTTCCATAAATCTCTTCCCAAGAAGTTCGAATGTGCACTAAGCACTCCACTTTTAAAATGCTCAGAGCACTTACATCCTATTTCACACAAAACAAAACAAAACAATCCCCCTTCCCCCAAAAAAAACTTTGGACCTAAAACTATGTGACACGATAGTTTTTATGGTTTGGAATCTTCTGCACAGAGATGTGTGTCGAGGCTGGGTTCCCAGTGGGATGAGATTGAGGTGGTGGGATCTTTAAGAGGCCAGGGCTCGGAATGAGGTAGTTGAGTTTCCTTCCTGTTGCTGTGATAAAACATTCTGGCAGAAACAGCTTAGGGGAGACGATGATTAATTTGGTGTATACTTTTAGGTTACTGTCACCATTGAGAGAAGTCAGGGCAGGGACCAGAGCAGAAACCACAGCTTCCCACAGTAGGCTGGGGAATGCATCAATTACTAAACAAGAAAATCTCACACAAACATGCCCATCATGTCTGGGCAATCCCTCAATTGAGACTCCGCCTCAGGTGACTCTAGGCTGTGTCAAGTTGACAGTCAAAGCTAAGTAGGGCATAAGGTAACAGCCAAATGACCCACCTGTTGATGGGATTAATGTTAAACCCCAGAGTAGATTTGATCTCACAGCATCACAATGTTTAGATTTTCCAGCCACAAAAAAAATTTAGATATGACTCGATGTCAGATATTTGGTTTCAGAAACACAGACTAATACAGTAGTAGTTAAAGTCCCTAGGTTCTGTATCCAAGCAAACAGGCAAAAATGTTTTGAAAAGTCCCTTCTAGCTTTAAATAAGAGCATGGTTTGAACTTAGCTCCAGGACTTGTTTCAGTCTCCATAAAACAGACGTAATATCACATATATACATCTTGTGGTGCATTTACAAGACTTCAATGAGACAATGCATATAAAGCCCCCAGCACAATGCTCAGGATATAGTAAGCATTCAATAAACGTTAGTTTTATAGAGCTGCCTCATATAAGTCAGATTAGGCTAAGTTATGCTATGGTAAGAAGGATCCTCAGACACTGCTCTTGACAGAAGCACGGGGTTATTTCTCGATCATGCTAAAAGTCTCAAGGAATCAACTCTATATTGCTCAGCTCCAGAAACCAGGATGACAGAGGAGCTGTTACTATAACATTGCCGGTCATAGCAGGAAAGTGAGACTGAGGTAAAGCAAGAACTGGCTCTCAGAGCTTCTGCTGCGAAGTGACACCTATCACTTCCCCTCACACTCCATTGGCCAGTCACACAGTGGCGTCTAACTTCACTGGGACAGAGAAGGAGCAATTCTACCCTCAGAGTGTGGAGGGGAAGAAGCAGCTATAAGTGCTTTATTTATGCTTGGTTTCTTCTCTCAGTCATGTGACTGGCATGTCTTGGTGGCCCACCAAACCCAGCACGTAGTAGAAAGTGAATGTATACTGTGTGGATAGGTGGTAGGTGTCCGTCATGTTTCTACGTGATGTTTGAACTGCGTTGAGTGGTTGAAGAAGAACTCTTCACTGATACATGACAAATGTCTGAGAGTGTCAACTGTTGAACTGACAGCAGAGGATCACAGACCCCTGCTTCTTAAAACAAATGAACACCATCCACTCGTGATATCTACCTCACCCGAGCATCTTCCAAGTTTACCTGTGACAGCTCTTCTTGGTTGATCACTTGACTACACCTGGAATAACTAAAACCCAAGCGACTGGGCACACCTGTGAGGGATGTTTCTTAATTAAGTCATTCGAAGTGGGAAGATCCACTTTTAATCTGCATCTCCTGAGGTGGGAAGATCCAGCTTTACTCTGGTCCACACCTTCTGCTGGCACCCCACATAAAGGACATGGAAGAAAGAAGCTTTTCTCTCTTAACCTGCTTGCTTTGGATTTCACTGGCAAATCCATTCCTTCACTGGCAGTAGAGTTTACTTCGTCAAGATCAGGGTGCATACAGAAGACCAGCTGACACATTCAGCCTTGTGGACAGAGCAACTACTGACTTTTTGAATTTCTGTTGGTAGGCAGCCTTTGTTGGACAGGCTGGACCACAGACTGTAAGCCACTCTAATAAATCTCCTTTTTATACATATAAAGAGACTGGTTCTATCAGTTCTGTTCCTGTAGAGAAGAAACCTGATGAATACACACTTTTGTCTCAAGATTTCCCATTAAGCAGGTTGGCAAGATAGCTCAGTAGATGGTTCAGTGGGTAAAGGCGCCTGCCGCCAATCCAGACTTCCTGAGTTTCGAACCCTGTGACCCACATGACCAAAGAAGAGAACCAACTCTTGCAAGTTGTGTCCTCTGACTTCCAGACAGCATATACGCACCCTTCTCAGACACATACACCTATCCAAGCAAAATAAATTAAATAAAATATAATAGATGTTAAAAGTGATTTATTAATTCTTTTATTAGTTTTCTGTAGAGTCTGTGGTGTCTCTACCAGTTTTATCTATAGATCCACAACCCTAAGACCTGTGTGTGTGTGTGTGTGTGTGTGTGTGTGTGTGTGTGTGTGTGTGTTTCCTTCTGGGTCCATGAGAGCAATCAGGACATCAATCTTTGTGTTATCTGAGGAATAAGCACATAGCCTGTGCATCTGGGCATTGAGTAGTTAGAGTTTGCAGAAGGTTGTTCTTTAAATAAATGCACGTCAAAGAGAGATATCTGTAGTCTGAACGTTTAATCTTTAAAGAAAATAAAACTTTATCCCCCAGGAAACTTTGGGTCTGTCTCTATAATTATTCATTATTATTGACTGTCTAGTCCTGGTTTTATCCCTAACTTTGAGTGTATTTCTTTCAAGCCACTCTCAATTTTGAAACTTGCAGTTGAAATTCCTTCCTGGGGCTGTATTCACGGCCCCACTCCTGTAGCTTCATCAGATGCTCATGTCCCTGGGGTCCTTCCTCTGCCAACAGCAGATTATGCCTCTATTGGGAATATCCTTCACTTCTCTAGAGCTTTCTTCCTCTGTCAGCAATGATCAGATGTTTCACATGATCCAGCCACCAAGTCCTCCCTGCTCAGCACTAGAAAGGAATTTCCAGTGGGGCAGCTTACTGCTTTTAAGATCCCTACTCACAGGCTTTTCTCTTTCTTTAGGGCAGAATCCCAAACTGGGACAGATGTGATGAAGTCACTTAGAGCTGCTGGTCTGGGGACTGGTGGGGTAGCCAGGAAACTGATCAAAGAGTTCCATAAAACGGAAGGATGTCAGCCCGTTTACTCACTCTTCCCCCCCTTTCTTCCTCCACTTGTTCTTATCAGTGTTTTCACTGAATTATAAGTCAATCAATGTTTGAAACGAGTCCCTTCAGCCACCAGCTCTCTCACAACCTGCTTTGGATTTACGCTGTGTACTTTTAAAAGCTCGCTACATGCCTCTTTCCAATGCAAACCAGTAGCAGGATGTACTTAGAACTATCATACTATCTATTACGAGTCAGGAAAGCTGGAATAAAGAGCGCGCTGCTTTGTACACAGCTTCCACATCTCTGGAGCTTATCGTATTTCATAACACTTAGAAAGTATCAATGAGAAGTTAGAGATGAAAGTTGGGCAGGGGCTGTAGTGTTAAATAGGCATCAAATCCAGCAGACTTCCAGAGCTTGAATCCTATTTCCAGACCCACTAGTTCTACGATCTTATATGATGTATGTGATTGTCTCTGCCTTAGTTTTCTCACCTATAAAGTGGCTACATCAGGGTTTCACTGGAGATAACACAAACACTCCTTAGGGTTCCTCAAGCAGGCAAATGTTGAATACAGGGGACCAGGTACTTATAAAACTGTTGAAAGACACATGGAGCCTCAGCCAATATTAAAACGTTCCAAATGCCATCCGTGTATCAACCAACTAAGAGGACACTTACATCTGCCAGTCAGAAAGCTGGGGAAACGGGAGGCCACTGTCCAAACTTGTGAGCGCAGGATCACATCACCACGGGAATAATCCAAGAACACGGGGAACGAAGAGACTTGGAATCTGTCACTACCACCGCTGACTCCAGAGTCAAACTGTTAGACCGTCTAGGTATGCATTAGAACACGAAAAACACACTTAAAACTCCTCATCTCCCTACTTAGCTCAGTGAGGAGTTCCGGTTCTGACTTCCAAAGGGATGAATCAAAATCACACGAGGACGATAAGCTGCAAGGCATTCTGGGAAGTGTAGTTTTTAACCAGCCACTGCAGGGTAGGAAGTAATCCTGGAGAGGGTGCAATCGCCATTGACCACAAGCAGCCCTGATATGATGTGTAGGAGCTAACCGAGATTAGTTATGAAAAGTGCTTTACACAGTGCCTAGCACATAGGGGACATCTCACAAATTTTATCTCTTGTTATCATTTTACCTTCGAAAACCTAGCCTGTTAGTTCTGATGACGACTGTCACACGCATTTCCTGAGAGCTATGGGGATAAAGTAACTAATTTAGTCTAACAGCCTCATATGACAGGATTCTGTTATTTTTGGTACAGGATACAGGCAGAGTCCATGCATTCCTCTTGGTGAACCACATTTTTGGATTTCTTCAGATGACTGGAAATGTAGGCAATGACCCACTTTCAGTCTTCTGATTGAATGTTGTACACTCTTGTTGGAGATGGCAGAATAGCCTAGCCTCTGTGAATACATATGCTGGGAATTTAGACATTTGTCTGAAGCTCTTCTTTAACGATTGGTCAAAGTATAACATTTTACAGGTATTTCATCTAATGGGTCTGAGGCAGGGGGTTGTGGGTATGTATGGCACGTGTGCATTTGAGCACTTATGTGTTCCCCTCTTTTCAAAGCACCTGACTTCTTTCTGGTGCCATGTCTGAGTCTCTCTTTTCTCTTCTTCAGGCAAATCCTCTTCATTACCAGCTCCTGTGCTTGGCCCTACGTGACAAGGGCAGTAAAGCTCTCAAGGAATTTTCTGTTTGTATGAGAAGATAAATGGGACACTTTAGAACACAGAACAGAGGGAACAGCACTGTTGTGATTGGTAATCATGGAGTATGCCTTGTAGTACAAGAAATATAAGCTGAAGGCTGGAAGGAAGATGACGGATGGAGTTTCTCAAGTCAAGAGGACTTAGGGAATTAGTGTGTTCCATTGGAAAAAAGGACAGGTACTAAAAGATCAGTGGTTAAAAGGTAGATAGGTGAACCAGAATCAATTTCTGTTCTCCTGATTATTGGAAACACACTGACATCCAATTTGACCTCCAGAAGGTTGGTGTCAGCCTGTGAATATGGTGCTTGTATTGCCAAGCTGGGTGCTCTGCCATTCCATAGCCAAGCTGTAAACAGGTAAGATACTCTAGAACACAGAGATCTTCTCCTAGGGGTTTGGATCTTAAATAGATTAAAAGAACCTAAAGCCATGTGATATTAGATTTTCAACTGCCCATGGTGGTGATACTTAGGCATCTGTCCTCTGTGTAAGTGTCTCTGAAGGTTTGGCTCAATTCAGGGTGTTAACCTATGTTTCCCATCAGCTTTGGTTTAGTCTCTGTGGCCCACGACTCAGAAACTATGGGACAGAAAAGAGAGTCCATAAGCCCAACTAGAAATATTCAGACATACATGCATGGGTGACAGTAAAGAAATTTAAGCCAATATTGGCTTCCCTTTTCTCCCCAGGACAGAGCGCTATATAGATTGTTTATGTATTTCCACACTCTGGGGGGATGGGCAGAAGATACATCACCACCGATACTTCACAGGCTGTGATTACACGTGATCTTTATTGTATTCATTGTGCCTTCTGATGCATTCCAGAATTTCTATAATAAACTGTAATGGGAAAAATACTAATAAAAACAATAAAATACATGACTGTTCCACCTCATAGGACTGCTGTGAGAACCAAATTAAATAACGTGTGTGAAAACCCCTGGGAAATGGAACTCATAAATGTGAATACAGCCGTCTATGTTCAGAGCTGGTACTGTTTTCAGAGTCCAGCCTTGGTGGGCAAGACTTCACAGGCACAGCCTTGCCCATAGGCAGGCACAGCTAGGGTGCTTTGTCTACTCACTCCTGTCTATAGACCTCAGTGTAGGCATCTCCTGCAGCATCCCTGCTTCCAGGGGAGCTGTCAAAGGGCTACCTGTTGGGAATGTCTTTGATGCTAGAGGACTAATGCTACCTATGCACTTGTATCAACATGTTTGAACCAACTCAAAAGAGACATGGAATGCCCTAGAAAAGCCTCCTGGAGCCAGTTGCCGCTAGGACTCTTCTCTGGCACCTTTCATTCCAACCTTTGCACTCTTGTTGGTACAGCTGGACAGTTCTTTGTATCAAGGGGCCAGAATCCTGAGCCAACATCAGGTACCACATAAATACTTGGAGCAACTGTAAATGTCTCCTCAGACAAGGTCCTGGGAACAGTAGCTACTCATCCTAGTTCCCAATTAGGACTTGGGAGACCACTGGTTTATAGGACCTAGTATTAGACTCTGACATCTTTCCACCAGCCTTTTGAAGTATGCACATCCTTGAAAATTCAGGCAGATTTATCCACGATGGTGACAGTTAATACTGAAGGTGTATCAACAAGCAATAGGTACTAAGGGCAATTCATAGAGCTTCAGTTGATGAGTGAGTAGCTCAACTCAAGTTCAAAGCCATCCTGTGTCTCTGACATTTCCTTAGACCTTGAGAAATAATTAACTGTCCCATCCCTTGCGTTTCCATGCTACTCTATGTGTATCTCATTTATAGCATTTGTCATAAGTCTGCTACAGTTCTAGTTCAGATATATTTCGTTATCTTAACTAGGGATGCTGTTAGTTCCTAGGGGCAAGGAATATGCATTAAATACTTATCAGTTCCTGTCCTGTAACAATAGCCTTAGTCGTTGTCTGAGATATAAACAATTCCTTCAACAGGTCAGTCAACAGATTTTATGCATTAGCTACCCTGGGCCGGGAACTATGAACATAATGGTAAAACAGAAGAGCTATCTCTGTGGACCTGACCTTCCTGGGGTGGGAGGGATGGGGGAAGAGGAGCTCAGACACACTGTTCTCAATGCCTGAAGAGGAACATCAACATATTTGAACAGAGACCTGAGTGAAGGAGTGGTCCCATTTGAGATTCGTGGGAAAGGCTGTTGCCTGCAGACGTGGGAACAAGAATGAACAACAAGGAACACTTGGAAGTGGAATGGCGGGGCAAGAGGAGGTTAGAGGGAAGGAAGGGATGAAGAAGAGCCCAGCTGACTATGATGAGAAAGCCCGATGCTACTCTAAACCAAGCTGCTGGGTATCTGCACAGATGTGCTATGCTCTGATATGTGTTTTGATTCGACCACAAGAAAATCAGCTGGGGCTGAGGGGGTGGGGGCTAAGACAGAAGAAGTGTGATTAGGAGGTGGTTCCTAGACCAAATAGATTCGATGACTTTGACAGGGAAGGTGAAGCCCAGGATTAGTTAACTATTAACCTATTTTCAGACGATCAGATGACAAAAGAGTTGAGAGTGGTAACCAACACCAACAAGGATCAGTTAATAACATCACTGCGGAACTCTGGGCTGACTGAAGAGCTGCTAGGTGTCTGGCTGCTGCTTAGAGAAAAGTAAAGAAGGGAAGAGGGGCACTAGAGGGCACCATGATTACTTAGTCCAGGGCCTAGATTGCCCCTGCTTCACATGCTCCCCAAAGCCCCAAACCAGGTGGTACAGGGCCTAGGATTCTGGCAACAAAAAGCGCTGAGACCTTCATAGCAGAGCTAACAGCTGCTGTATCCCCACCGGCCCTATCTACCAGCACAAGACAAGGGGGGAAGGAAATCATAGAAAAGAAAGATCTTGCTCCCCCACCCAGCCCCCAGCCAGGTCTTGTTCTCCAACATGCTGATGGGAACAGGAACCAAGAAGTATATCCTTGGGGACACAGCACACCTTCTGTCGTCTCTTGGGTTCTCTAGAAGCAGCTGGCTGTGCAGTTTTCTTGCAGAAGTAGGGCCAGTGTTGGCCACCAAACTTGAGGGCTGAACACCCTTCTGGATCAAGGCCCTCCAGCTCCCAGGTGTCACTTTTATGTGTTCCTCGTTACCGACAGCTGCAGGGGATAGTGATGAAAATGCTCGCATAAGGATCTGATGGGATTTATTCCTGTTCTATCTTGCTTGTTAAAAAGCATGTAAAAAAAAGAGGGATGCGGGGAGGTGATCCACAGCTGACCCAGCTGAGGGTGCAGACCTCCTCCAAAGAAACTTCTCAGGGATATTTACGACCCTCCGAGTGGCTAGCTAGTCCTACCTGACACCAGAACCTGCAGAAATGCCCCCAGTACCACCAGGTACGTCTCACACTTCCTTCATCAAAATTCTTCTCTGTCAGACCACTGGGGCCTCAATGTTCCACCCCACCCCCAAACACTTACTTACATTGGAGTCCTCTGCATCTGAAGCATCTTTCTATTCAGCTTTCTGATTCTGCTGGAGGTGGACGCTCAAGCCTTTCCCTACGAGTCTGCCCTCACCAGCTGGGCCCAGATCTCTATAGCAGGCAGAATAACAGACCCTCCAACAGGTTCATATGCCCTGCAAATATGGTACCTTTCCTGACAGAAGGGAACTGTGGTTGACATAAAGTGTCGGAATGGAACAGACATTATCTTGGGCCATCTAGATAGTTCGATGTAATCACATTATCCTTATAAGATGGCAGGGGTCAGAATAACAAAGAGATGTGACAAGAGGGCTAGGGAGATGGCTCAGTGGGTAAAGTGTTTCCCGTGTGCCCACCTATCATCCCAGTGCTGGTGAGGTGAAGACAGGAGAATCCCAGGAGGACCGCTGGCTAACCAGACTAGCTGAATAGGTAAGTTCTAACTTCAGTAAGGTGCTCTGTGTCAAAAAAATAAAGGGAAGAGATGAAGGAGGAATATACTGGAGAATGACCTCCACATGCATGGCATGGGTGCCTACACACATGTATGCATCATATACACACATTAACATACTTAAATGCATACAGCACATACATATACACACACTCACATGCACACATACATACATGC